ATCATCATAATCAAGCACAAACAAGGCCACATCTCTGTAATACATTATCCAACCCGTGATTCCCTCCACCCCCCAGTCTCAGAAGTAGAAGAGAATGTAATGGGAACCACACAGCAGCTCTTAGTAATTTTCCCCCAGATGTGTTTTTACTCCACTTCTAAGGATGAGTTTAGAATGACGATTTCTGCCTCATGGAAGCTAACTTAAACCATTTCATTTGATTCAGGCTCAGCTTGTGAAGTGTGCCTATCAGAGGAGGAAATGCCTTTGTGTTGCATCAGGGGTACGCAAATATAAAGAAATAGTTCCTCAAATGACAGTAAAGGAAGAACGTTTTCAATATAAATTGATGGTAACCATCTTCAGTGACCCTGTGCATGAAAGGAATGCAGGAAAGAGTGAAATTACACTTAAAAAGTAGCTTGAGAGCATCATCATGGAGAGCCAAATAGCTTCTCCTGAGCTCAAGTACCTTACAATGGAGCAAAGCACGCACACACACAAGCTGACAAGCCGTCTCAAATGGAGCACTGTGCACACGCCCAGCCACACACACACAGAGACATATATGGAGAAACATACACACACAGAGGCATGCAAGCTATCTACATTGGAGCGGTGCACACACACACCACCTACAATGGAGCCAGGCACACACACACACCAACAAGAAGTACCACAATGAAATCTCTATTTTGTTATGTCTTTTCAAAAAATGCCTTTCTTCCCAACCACACCACTAAGAGTTGGCGCTTGGTCTTATATGTTGATGGAAAAACTCCTAAGGTCGGTCAGCAAAGGTCTGCTGTCATAAAATTCTCTACAAACTTGAGTCTTGACTTAAATAGGTAAACCACAATGCTTTATCAAAATAAAATTTCCCTGTGGTCCAGCGCAACTTCATCTAGCATAGTAATGCCATTCAGTGCCAACATTGCCTGAGACGTTCATCTTTGGCAAGTTAAATGGTGTAAATTCTGGCTGAAGTACAAGATTGGGCAAAATGCAGTAATATCAGAAACAGCAAGTCCATGTGAATTTTTTTAACTGTGTCACATGTAGGAAGTTCAGTGGGGGAAAAAAATCTGCCTTTTAAGAGTGATGGTGGCAAAAAGGACTCCCACTGGCCAGTCTGGGGACAATCTGAGCATCCAAAAGAATAACGATGCTGGGGCCGGCCAGGTGGCGCAGCAGTTAAGTTCTCGGTTCTGCTTCAGCGGCGCGGGGTTCGCGGGTTCAGATCCCGGGTGCGGACATGGCACCACTTGGCAAGCCATGCTGTGGTAGGTGTCCCACATGTAAAGTAGAGGAAGATGGGCACGGATGTTAGCTCAGGGCCAGCCTTCCTCAGCAAAAAGAGGAGGACTGGCAGCAGATGTTAGCTCAGGGCTAATCTTCCTCAAAAAACAAAAAGAAGAACGATGCTAATTGATTATAACACATGTAACAACAACAACAAAAATGAGCCATGAGGCTATAATGATGCTGAAAAGTTGGGGATGCAGAAGTAAAGCTCTTCTTCATAGAAGTTCAGCTAAGAATTTGTGGAATACCTCAGATTTACATATTGTTATATGTCAATTACATTTCAGTAAAGCTGGGGAAAAAATGAAAAAAGGAACTTGTAGAAGAAATGATTGAATTAGCAATTCACCATTCTGGAACCACCAATGTAATGCATCAAATAGGAAAAGACAGGGAATGGGTATGAGCAGATATTCACGGTCCCAAACTATCGTCCTCAGTTGGCTCATTCCTTACACAGGAAAGAAGGCACCTGCATACCCGGGAAAAAGAAGACTGCGCCACCAACTCACCAAGCTCGGCAAAAGCAATAAAGGACAACTGGACCATTTGATCCTCCTGGGAGAACGCAATGAAAAGGATGCAACATCACCTCTGCAGTGTTTTGCCCAAATGTCCAACTTGAATCAAATCAAAAGGCAATAATCAGACAAATACAGACCATGGGACATTACAGAACACAATCGGCCTGGACTCTTCAAAAAAGTCAGTAACACTAAAAAAAAACACTAAAGGCAGACAGGCTGTTGTAGATTAAAGGAATTTACAAAGTCAAAGCCAAATGCAGTGCACGATTCTTAACTGGATCTCAGATTTTTTTTAAGGCCCTGAAAGGATGCTGATGCCGGAAGCCCCTGGCAGCTACTGAATGGACACAAGTGTCAATGGCCAGACAGGTGTGGCACCCACCTGTTGATCTGGAGACGTCCAGCATCGGAGGGGCCTAGAGCAGGTGTGGAGGCAGCCCGCCTTCGTGGTGACACTTGGGCAAGGCTGAGACACAAGCTGTCCAGATGAGCCCTGTAAATGACAGGCAGGCAACACACCCACCTGCCCTGTGGCTGAAACACAGCCCGCAGGGCTAGGACCCTAATGACGATCATTTTAATGGGAAAGTCCTTGTCTTGGGCCCCCTGGGCTGCTGTGACGAAGTACCATAGACTGGGTGGCTTATAAACAACAGACATTTATTTCTCACTGTTCTCGAGGCTGGAAGCCCAAGGCAGAGGTGCATGCAGAGTCAGTGCCTGGTGAAGACGGCTGGCTTCCTGGTTCATAAAAGGCCGCCTTCTCACTGCGTCCTCATGGGAGGGGCGAGGGAGCTCTCTGGGGTCCCTTTTCCGAGGTCACTAATCCCATTCATGAAGACTCCGCCCTCATGACCTCATCACCTCCCAAAGACCCCACCCCTAACACCATCACCTTGGGAGTTAGATTTTAACATATGAATTTTGGGGAGACACAAACATTCAATCTACAGCATCCTTGGAATAACAGAACACAGTTGCATCTATAGAATCCTGCCATCATTCTGCTAGAGGCAGCCTTATTAAATAAAAGATCCCACCAACAATTTCTAAAAGGTAACAAATAGTTTAGAAATTATTAGACTGATAATTTGAAAATTATCAGATGGATAATTTGTGTCTCCATTTATATCACTTAGAAATGCATATATGGTTTAGTTAGAGAATAAAATGGAGTCAATTTTTTAAATTGTCATATATATTAATTTATATCACAATTTTGTATGTTTTATATTACTATAGATTTTGTATTTTAGTACTATTCAAAAGGTAATTTTGATGGTGAAATAAAATAATATATGTAAAGTCCTGCATTAAGTACCCATTACACAGTAGTATACACTAAATTTTAGTTACTTTTCTTCCAGTAGAATATCTAGACTTTGCACAAATTAATGAAAAGCAAGACATGGGCTAGATGCCCCCAAATACGCACTCATGTGAACAAGCCATTCATTGCAATCCCTGAAGGTTGTAAACGTTCACATTTCAAAGCGCACCCATCACTCGCCCAAACCCAACCCCACAGGAGGTCCCAGCTACTTAAGCAAAATAACGTTTACATGGCAGGGCCAAAAGGAAAATAAGACGGAGAACTGAAATTCAACTTAAACATTGCCACTCAGGCACAATTCACAGACTGCAAAACGGAAGCGGCATAAATTGTTTCCAGTTTCCCTCAACACTGACAAGAAGAGCAGGAAATAGGTAATAAATCAAACTTTAATTTAGAAATTTCCTGGGATTACACTTTCGTTTATGATCTTTTTATTCCTGAAGTACTTCTAAACGTCCCTCATCAGGAGAAAACCATACGAGCCCCTCATTTACCAACAAGTCGTGGCTGACGGGTCTAATCCCCCAGCCCACATCCCAAAATACATCTGCACCTGTCGTCGGTATTTTTTCTTAATGTCATCCTGAACAGCTTTTACATTTCAGGGCATCTTCCAATCACGTGGAAATCAATTCTTCTAAATTACATCATGCCATGCTCTCAGAAGATAAAACGTTTTAATTGGGTGAGAAAAGGGATTTACTACTTCAGCAGCTCTTTGTAAAAATTCCTTTCGCTTTACCAGCATCAAAGCCCCCATTACTGTTATTTCATCTCTTTAACATCTGTTAGATGATGTTGCTACTTTTCAAACAGATCGTGGGTGAAGTGAGCCCTCACATTTCTACAGCATTCAGGACGAAATGTGTATGCCGGTTTGTCTTTGCTCCACAGGAGAGATGACAGCTGACCTATCCCTCCCCGTACGCATGTCCAGGAGGCTGTGACACAAGCACAGACCCACACACTAGAGGCCATATTCATGCTTTTCCTTCTCCTTTATTAAAAAAATCGATATCCCATCAATACTTTCCTATTTAGTAGTTGAACCATCTTGAAAAAGGTAAATTGTCCCCTTACAAATATTTCTCACTCTGTCCAAATCAATGAGGCTAAGAGACATAGAAATATTCCATTCAAAAGTTATAAATAAAAACCCTACGTCCCCCAAGCAGGGATCAGCAAACCACACCGGTGGGCCAAATAAGGGGCTGCCTGTTTTTATAAATAAAGTTTTATTGGCACTCAGCCACACTCATTTGTTTACAGACTGTCCCTGGCTACAAGGACCAAGTTGAGAACTTTCAACAGAGATCCTATCTACCACAAAGCCTAAAATGGTTGATATCTGGCCCTTTACAGAAAAAATTGGCAGTCCCTGCTCTAAAAGTGTTGTCGTCTAACAGAAATAGAACGCAGGCAGCATATGTAAGTCTAACTTACGTAGCAGCCATATTAAAAAAATAAAAAGAAGTGAAGCTAATTTTAATAATATATTTTAGCCCAATATATGCAAAACAGTATTATTTCAGCACATGGACAATATTAAGAAGTTATTATGAAAGAATTTCCCTAGGTTGTTTTTTTCTTCATACAAAGTCTTGGAAGTCTTTCTGGGAAGTCACATAACAATTCAGACTAAACATAGTTGAGGAGCTCAGTAGCCACTTGTGACCAGTGGCTGCCACATTGGTCTCTGGAGGTCTAAAGGGCATGCTAAGTGAGAGGAGAAAAAGAGTGAAATTTTCAATGAACGCTCTAGCTTCATACAAATAAAATGTAAGATAACAGACTTTCTGCTCATTCTAAGCATATCCCAAGCAAGATGTGGAACATACTTACACTGAAACATCATTGATTGTGTGTCTGAAATTCTAATGTCAGTGGGTGCCGGGACTTCTCAGCCCCTGAATTTTCCTGCTCCGTCCAGATTCCAGCGGGAGGCAGCAGAGAGGGGCTCTGTCCTAGCTCCTCCGCCAGCTTGGGTGCCTCACGCCGCCATTCCGTGCATTTTGAAAATTGCTGGTGCTGCGCACACTCACTGGCTCGGAGATCAATTACTGCTGAATCCATCCAGCCCAAGGCTGCCAGGTGTCCTGCAGAAGGCCAGGCTGTGCCCCTCCATACAAGGCAGCAACGCCATCACCAACGAAGGAGTCCCCAACTCAAAATGCAGATGCAATCTTCCTCTTAAGAAGGTTTTGCTTTAAAAAAAAAAAAAAGTGTGTTCTGTATGACTCCACTCACATAGAAGATAAACAAACACATGGACAAAGAGAACAGATTAGTGGTTACCACGGGGAAGGGGGGTGGGGTGGGCACAAAGGGCAAAGGGGTGCACCTATAAGATGACTGACAAATCATAATGCACAACTGAAATTTCACAAGGTTGTAAACTATCATAACCTCAAAAAAAAAAGTGTGTTGTCCCACCAAGACACTAGGAATGCCTTAGGGAGAAAATGCAGAGTCCACACAATCAAGAGTCACAATACGAATGGACTACAAATAACTTTTCTTAATCTTGCAGGAAAAAAAAAATGACTGCCTCCTTTCTGCTTCCAGGAAAGTAGGCCAGCCCTTCTGGAAGCCCTGAGGTGCAGAGCTAGGGAACACATAGTGAGATGAGCAAAGAGGAATTTTAGAACGTGAGAGCTGTCTCCACATAGAAATCCAAGTTGTAAAAACTAAGCTTTGTGTGTTCTCTGTCCTATAGTCAAAAATTTGGTGGCACAATTCAATAACCTCCATCACAGAGCCTTCCCAAGGTGCTCCCTTCTTAAGGCCGTTCTAACAGAGTTCAGAGCACAAGATGAAAGTCGGATGGTTGGCACAGTGTCACCAGGTGAAAGAAAGACTCGGTTTGGCAGTCAGGACTCAGCAGACGAATGAATCGCTTGGCCATTGCAGCATGGTCAACGCTGTCTACACAACTTGACCAAGTAAGAATAGGCCCAAAACACGAAGAGAAAATGATCTAGTGACAGCTACGATCATGCACTTTTCCTTTTACTCATCTTGGAAAATCATTTGGGGGAAACTTTCTCACAGAAAGAACAGAGACCCTTCATGTCGCGCTTTTTCAAATGAATTTACTTTTGGACCTCAAGATTCGAAGCACTCCACCATCCATCCTTTATTTAATGATCGTTCAAAATGTGTTTCTGTGCAGATTGAGGGTTATCTTTTCGTTGGAACAAAAATTTTTGAAAACTGTGTGCACATTAATGTGGTCAAGTGAACATTCAAATCCAGGAGAAGACTGAAATAATTCCACCCCATCTGGAGCCACGAGAATTTTCAAAGTTCTCCGTGTTTTTCTTGTTATTTCAGCTTATAGCTTCAGTTACCAGGCAAGGCTTTAGAAGGACTTGTACAGGGTCCAGAATTCCGTGGACTCTCATCGAGTTCTCACAGCTCTCCATTTGGATGGGTACCATGTTTCCGTCTTATTTTCCTGACAGCTTGCCCACTTTATCTTGAGATTCTTTCATCCTACAAACCAGAAAGCTCATTCCAAAATAGAACGCACAAAATGCACTGCAAAAACAATAGCCTGCAGCTTGTCGACAGGCTTATAAACTCGCTTTTTCTTCTCTCTGTACTGGGAGAACATTGAGAAAATAGCCCATCAAATTCCCAAATGTGTTATTGGACATAAAGATTTCTTTCTCTCATAGGTTTAAAAAAAATAGACTGCCAAATGTCTGCACTTTCAAGCCAATTTTAAGTTATGCTATAGTCATTCTAGAATTCCTCAGTAAGATAGAATAAAATCATTGTGAATATACTTAATGCCACCGAACTGTACACTCAGAAATGGTTAAAATGGTAAATTTTGTGTTATGTATATTTTACCACAATAAAAAATAAATATATAAAAACTGAACTACAACCAAATAGCTATAAAATGTCATCCACAATACACTGTTAATGGCAAATTTTGTTCCTATGTTCCTGGCACCTAGCAGATGCCACGTCTGCTTTTCCCCCATGATCTGAAGTTCCAAAACTTGTTCCCCCTACCAAGCACATTTTTTGGTCATACTGGTCGTTCAGTGCTATCTGTGGACAGGGCTATAATTTAAATATGCTGTTAAAATCCAGGATCATCTAGACTATTCCCATCACAGTCCAGTTAGTTTGCCCTAAGGTGTCAACAAACAGAATTCTATTTAAATATTACTGTAATCACCAGTTACACCTTCAAACTCCACGGCCACACTCATATTTCGCCTTCTTTGTTGACAGCATCAGCAATTTCTGTCTAATGGGAAATCACAGTTGTCATTTTCATAAGCAATCAAATTCTTTAATGAGGATTTTGGGTTTTTTTCGTACTAACAAATAACTTATGCATAGGTGTATTTGACTTTTTTTTTGAGATTAAATCTTCCTTATAAAATTTCACATGGTTCCAACCTGCGTAGGTTGGCTCTGGGGATGGTTTTCAGCTCTGTGGTTTATCAGTTGTGTGGCCTCCTGATGATGTCTACACAGGGCACTTCGTGGATTTGGAGAAAGATGGGAAGTCCAGGAAGAAGGAGGGCATTGCAGAGCTGAGACTTAATAAAAAGGATAAGGCGTGGGGGGAGACGGATCGCGAGATCCCCTCACAGGGAGAAAGGTAGGCACACAGCAGAGCAGCCGCCTGGAGCCATGAGGCTGTGCAGGCTGGGGAAAGTGTTCCAGGCTAAGGGGTTTAGGTTATACCCTAAAGGGAAACAGGGTACCACTGGAGGATTTTAAGCAAGGGGGCATGTAGTGGGTGGCATAGCAACCCCCAAAGTATATGTCCAAGTCCTAACTCCTGGCACCTCAGGTAAGATTCATCACAGCCTCGTGAAGAAATGAACAACTTTCTACCCAATGACCTCCATTAGACAAGGTCACGTGCTGAGGGTGCACAGAGAAGGGGCCGGGAGGAAGCTGTGATGGTCTGACACAACTGGGACTGGAGGACGAAGAGAGAGCCGAAGAGGGACTCGCACAACTGCTTGGTCTCCTGAGGGCCCAGCTGGGGTTGAAGATCATGATGTGTAGTAACGTGAATGCACTCGGTTGTGCAATTTTTCTTTAGCAGCCATCAGTAGCTTGGATGTGGACCAAGGATGGCAGATGGCTGGGCTGATTCAAGATTGGGCTTCCGCAAAGAGCGGTACACAACATTTCAGTTTGTTTCCAATATGAGCTCTGCTGGACTGAATGACTTCAATAAATTCTCTACTGTAAACATCGGGTACAAAAAATACTCCCTAATGGATAAATACATTGTGGTACAGTCACATGCTGGATGCTAGGATAGCTTTGAGAATGAACAAGCTATAGCCATAGCAGAGAGGAACACCTCGAACGCAATGTTGAGTGACAAAGGCAAGACCCGCCAAGGTACATGCATGTGATTCCATTAATACCAAGTTCATTCTGTTTAAGGGTGCAGATGTGGAGTAAAACTATAGGTAAGAGCAAGGAGACAATTATCCCCAAAGTCGAAATAACGGTAACTTCTAGTGGGGAAAGATGGGTGGTGACCAAGGCAGGCTCCTGAGCAGCTGGCCACATTCTCCTTCTTAACTTGGGTAATTACTAGTTGTTCTTTTTCTATTATTCATTAAAATGTATGTATCTTGAATGTACTTTTATGTCCCTAAGTAACATGTCACATTAAAGGAAGGAAATCTTCCATTAGCATTTTAATTCTCTACAAAATAGAGGTTAGTATTCTAATAAGCCAGGAACATTTTTTTTCAGTGGCAAGCAGTAGCAACCCAAATCAAATTCCACTAAGGGAAAAAAAGGAGCACATTGGTACATACAACTGGATAGTTCATGGGTGGCCTTCAGACTTGGCTAGATCCAGGTGCTCAAATGCTACCTAATGGAGTCTGTCTCTCTTCACTTCTTGGTTCCATGTTTCTCAGTGTCTCAGTGCCAACTTTAGTCTCAGGGATTGATAAAGAAGATGGATTTTATCATCACTAGGTTTACATGCTACCAACTTAGCAACCCTAGCAAGTAAGCAAATAATAAACAAACAAACCAACAAACCTCTTTGTCAGTAATTCTAGCAAAAGCCCACATCTGGCTGTCTCTGGATCATCATGGGTCATGGACGCTTTCCTATCCAGTCACAGTAGCCAAGGGATACGAGATGCTATTTGGCCAGGCCTGGTCCCCAAGTCCACCCGGGAGCTCAATATCACAGGACCTGAGAGTGACAGTCAGGGGTTCCTGAGAGAAAACTTCACTTCTTTCAACCAAAAGACAGGGTGGCCGGGGGCGCAGACAGAACCCACCAACATCCACTACAAATATGTCCACCTTTCTTTGGTGCTGGCACCAAGCAATAATTTCCTTTCATTTCTCACTCCTATATTCCAAACACCTCTCTTCCTTTCCATTTCTCTCCCAAATAAAGAGCAAAGGCAAACAAAATACACAAAAAGACCCAAGAATTTAGAAGGAAGCAAAAAGACTGAAAGAAAGAGTGAATGATTCCATTCCCCCCACCTTTGGCCTTTCAGTAATTACCTGCCGGAAGTTTGGGTCAAAGCTTTGCATCAGCTCAGATACATAATTTATAGCAACTGACTGCTAATAGATCCCTGCCAGCATGGTTCAGTAGAATAGAATGTGACATTCTGCTTGGCAGGACAATGAAGGGTGCCAGATTGACCCAACTCCCTCAGCCTGTGCCCAGTGACCAGAAACTTCCATCTCAGAGCCTCGGGGGACAAAGAGAACTCAGTGTGCTCCTTAAATTGAATAAAGGGGGAAGATCATGAACGTCCTGGGAGAGTTCAGGACGAAACAGATTTCCCCCAGGGGGAAGGACAAACTTTGCCCACAGCTGACCCAGCCAGCCAGGCTCCAGGACCATTAAAAGACAGTCACGACCAAGAATGTCGCCATCATCATGTCCGAGAGTCATTGAACCATCTATGCTTCTGCTGACACTGCCAAGGCTGGACTTCAAGGCTGAGCTGCACAAACTTAAAAGCATCCTGAGCTCCCCAGCTCTCTCCAGCCGCATCCATTGGAATCAAAGATTCAAAAAAGCCATTGCAACGGAAGCTCCCACAGACTTTTGAGTCTGGACATCTCCTTCCTGAGGACGGCTTGAGGACATCCACAAGATCAGACCATCTGCAGCCAGAATATTTCTCCCCAGTTAAAGCAACCAAGGAGGAGAAAACGCTGTCTC